ACGCTTTTATCACAATAATACTAGTATTTTTTGTTCATAATTATTTTAAACTTATTTTAAAAATTATTTTTAACTTTTTAGTTCGACGTGCTTTAAAAGCGTGTTTTTTTAGTTTTTTAAACTATATTTATTTTTTCAACCCTGTTTGGCACGAAAACGTTTTTCGTACTGATAGATCAGCACTGGAGGTTTTGTATAACCAATATTACGTCAGTACTACGCCAGCAATAGTAGCTAAATACTGATCTCCAATACTGGATCAGTATTTAGATTAGACACCAGCCAATAATACTGTAGTACGGGCTAGCCAATGGACAGTTGATAGTACTGGTGCAATACTCCGCCCGTCGACAATATTGGTAATTAACAAAAATGTCTGCTTGGACAGCAGAACAAGTAAGATAGGGTATATTCACTTATCTCTTTAACTGCGCTCCTGTAATATATTTAGTGCCAACTAAGAAAATTTATCCAAGAACTACCACTGTATTTATGTTATTACACTACGTTTGTTGCACCTTAATATTTATTAGATAATACTATTTATTACAGTATTAAGCGATTCCGAACAACAAAAATTATATATGTTACACTGTCTAGCTGAATTTATGTTATATTCTGAAATAATACTAAAAAAATCAGNCTAGCTGAATTTATGTTATATTCTGAAATAATACTAAAAAAATCAGTTTTCTTTCGAATTAAAAGAGCTCAAAAATTATTTTATAAATATACTTTTTTTACCGTTCTTATTTATAAAAATAAAAAATTCCTCTAAATGTTACACTAAAAATACAACGTGTAATACCACTTGGTTTTTTAAACTTAACCGTTTAAAGCCCCTGTAGATATTTTTTAAAATTACTTGTATAAAATTGAATGTAATATGTATGATAATAACTTTTTTTTTAAAACACTTATAATTTCATAATATTTTGAGAAAAACTATGTAGCATGAAATTTTAGTCATCCTGAATTTAAGTTATCAATATTTTATAGATGATCCTTTCATAAAAGTTACGGATATTCTAAATTTTGTGGTACAATATAACAAGTTGGGCGATGATAAAAATGTAAAATCTCATATTAATTACTATATTATCCTTTTTACCTGAATCATTAATAAATTATTTTGCATTTTTTAGATGGAAAAACTGAGCAAAGAAGAGGTAAAACAAATCTCAACTGATTTCCAAAAAATTTGTGACAGAAATGGTATAGTAATGGATAGTAATAAATATGAAGAAGTGATTGTTATAATTTACCACTATGTTGGAAGCGTAATTATAAGTTTATTTAAAAATATTTATAATTTTTTACACGTGCGTTTGAACGCAACGCCCGGTGATACTCGTGCGAGTCAATTAATGCTCGTTACTTTTGTCTTAAGTCAGTCTATGTCTAAGGGGAAACAATAAAGGGAGTGGATTGTATGAATGAAAGTAGAATTAATTTAAAACATATTAACAGTTAAATGTATTAAAATATAATATATATAATTACAACAATGAGGATAGGCCCCTCCCTACCGTCATTGTTGCACATTTAGTATTTATTAACGCCACAATAAGTGCGAACATATACAAAACGATTAGTTACAAATCAATCTTAAATTGAAGATAAACAATCATTATACTTATCGGCTAAGTTGTAACGACTTATGACAATATTGTATGTATCAATGTGAAGTCGAATGCGATTAGCTGACTAAAGTGCACAATATGTCGTGAACGGTGCTGTGGTGATGTCATAAAACAAATAATCCCAAGGACGATACACTGAGAACGCACAAAAGTACGATAATCGCAAGGATGGTGTGTCACTTTTACAAATAACTATGTGTTTACAAGCACCAGAGTACCACATAGAAAAAACGCTAAGACGGCGGTGACAATACAGACACCGAAAAAAGAAACGACAGTAACTTGGCGTCGTGAATTGACCGCATACGTAATCATACAACATAATGTCCTTATGTAGCGCTAAAAGACTTAAATAAAATATTTGAGTTTTTATTTTATTAGTAAATGGCATTTAAATATTTAATATAACTTAATTAGTTTATTAGATATAAAAATTTTAGGTTTCAAATTTTTGAGGTAATATATTGGCTATAAAAAACAAGCAATTTTATAAAGGGATCTAGTTTAAACTTTTCATTTATTTTTTTGGAGGCTATTTCAATTTAATTATTAAACATTTTCGAGTAGTCGACTTCTACAAAAAAATAAAAAATAAAAATACAAAAAGTAATAAACATTGAATATTTTTACAGTAGCAAAACAATTATTTATTTACCAGAATCATCGATTTCGTCTTCATAGTTCAATGTAGTATAGCCTGACCATTGTTTTTATATTTTAGCTTTGTTCAGTATTACCTTGTAAATTTTCGGATACTTATCATCATTAAACTCATCAGATGTCATTTCAAATGGTTTTAAAATACAATAAACTTTTTCAGAAGAACGCGATCATTATTATTTACCAGTGTGATAAATTTTGTATAATTTTTTTATATCATCACATTACTCTTCTATTGACATCAAAATAATCAATTTTGTATTCCACATAATTTTATTTCTTGAATTAATGCTTTTTAAAATTTGATATTAACACCAGTTGTTCGATTCATTTAAAGCTTTAGAATTCTGAATAAGTTTTACTACAGGTGTTGTTATACAGTATTCATAAAATTAGTAAATTCCCTTAATAATGATTTTGTTTAAACGCAACACCCGGTGATAATTTGCTGGTTAGTTAACGTTCGATTCTGTTGTCTCTTATCATGCAGGAGAAACAAGTAGGGAGTAGACTGTATAAAATAAATAAAATGTATTTAAGAATATATAACAACTAATTGTATGAAATTATAAACCAAAAATATTATATATATATATATTAGGGTGTCCCTTATTTTGAAAATTTTGGAAATTCTTCGGGCTCACCCCCCTAGTTTGTGTGTATACATATAAAAAGTTATTTCAGCTATAACAATAAAACGATCGGTTCAATGAAATTTATACTTATTACTTTTATTTCGTAAAATTTTATTTTAAACAATTTTTGTATGAAACATTAGGTCGTATCACATATGGTTCGTCATATATGATAAAATATTCGAAAATATGCTAATTTCGTCAATTTTACGAAATATTATGTATTTTGACATTTTGCTAGAAAACTAATGGATTTAAAAGAAAAACTGTAAGGACTTAATTTATACAAAACAATTAGATCTACAATTTATTTTTTATATTTTTTTTTGTGAGAGTGCTAATTTATGAGTTAATTGCTAAAAACTAAAAAAGTACCCCTTTTGGCCGATTTTCAACCCCAAGTCGGCACGGGTTAAACTTATCTGATCGGCCTGAAATTTTTTGTAACCAATTTTTATATGTATACACACAAACTAGGGTGAGCCCGAAGAATTTCCAAAATTTTCAAAATAAGGGACACCCTAATATATATATATATATATATATCAATGTGGTCAGGGGGGATACTTAATGCTAATGAAACAACAGAACAAATAATATCATTAAAAATAAGACAAAACAATATGATTACTGACTACTTATCGACACCGATGATGATGTAAGTGGAGGCGAATGAAATCGTTGGTATGACTATTGAACAGGCAAAACGGACAGTACTTCAAAGTGTACAAATGTAATTCTCAATGAGCGTATCACAAGGGCGATGAACAATAACACACAAATGTGCGACAATCGCAAGGAAGATATATCACCGTTTTTTAACGACTACGTGCTCACAATAGCAAAACGAGCTTGAATGGCGACATAAACACAAAATCACAAAAAAGGGACCGACAGTAACTCGAGATCTTACAACGATCGAATCGTCCAACATAATGAATGATTCTTTCGCACAACCGGTGGAAGTAGTGCGAGTGGCTTATCAGTCATAACAAAACACTCTCTCGTAACTGCATATCCAATAGATTTTTTATCAAATATAAAATACAATAAGGCTCAAAAAATGACATTTGAGATAAATGAATTTTAAGTTTTGACCTCTTAAATAAATTCCAAATTAGTTTATACATATCGTTTTTCTGTTTTAAATATTATAAATATAGAACACGAGTAACACATTAAAAACTATTTAATCAATAAAGGTTCAATACTAAAAATATCGATTAAAATTTAATATTCCCAATTTTCGGAGATACGGCTTTACTGCACACATACACAATATATTTTATAAAACAAATAGCCACAAAATGTATTACGATTTAACCACTATAAATAATTATAATTTATATTTATTATTATACATTAAACTTGTGACTTAACATTTGAATTACTTTTTTTTATTCTAATGNTTATATTTATTATTATACATTAAACTTGTGACTTAATATTTGAATTACTTTTATATTCTAATTGTTATAGTAATTATTCCCACACTTCAATACATATAATGGGCAATCATAATGCTTTAATATATCTTAAATAAGAACAATATTTTATTGTTGCAACTGAAAAATTGTACTTGAATAATACTACAAGTACCTAATATATTATTATAATGTAAAAAATTAACAAATATTGTGCACGAAATACTGTAATTTTTAACTTTTTTTACAATACAAATTTTTTGGTACAATTTGACAAGTTGGGCGATTCCAAAAATGTATTAATATATATAATTCACATATTAATTACTTTATTATCCTTTTCACCTGAATGATTAATAAATTATTTTACATTTTTTAGGTAGAAAAATTGAACGAAGAAGAAATAAAACAAATTTCAACTAAAGTCAGAAAACTTTCTGACAGTAATGGTGTTATAGATTTTTCTCAAAACAGAAAACTGATGAATATAATGGACAACTTTTTTAAAAGCGTAATTATAAATTTACTTAAAAATATTCATAATTATTTACATACGAGATAAATCGCGCAAGATTTTTTTCTTTCAAACGCAAAAATGACAGAAAGTCTATAAAAGTATTTATTTTATTGTTATGTTGATATACTAATTTAAACTAATACATACGAGTAAGAATTGAGTCTATTTATGTAGAATTTTTTAAAGTCTAAATTTTTAATTAATAGCTTTTAGTTTTATTTTAACATGATTCGTTTATATCCATCTAAAGCAGATTTAATATTTGATTCTTACTCAGTTATTTACGTTAATTTTAAATGGAGCAATTTTCTAAAAAATAGATACATTTTTGAGATATTTTCTTATTTGTTCACTTGTGACTTCTTCAACTAGAAACTGACCTGTGAATACATTAGTTTTAGTCTCCAATCATCACTTATTTAATTTAATTTCAATGAAGTATAAGTACTTTTTTTATATTTACCTGACCAAAAATCAGTTGTAGCTGAAACAAAATTATTATCAATATATGGTTCGATTATATTTATTAAATGTTTCGGTGATCATTACCTTATATTATAATATATTTTCCTACAGTTATAAGATGATGCATTAGAATGTTTAATAGATAATTCATCATATTTTTAGTCTACTTTAACTGTCACAATCAAGTGATGATCAAGCCGTTAGATTTTTATTGCCAAAGGAGTAATGCCAATATTAAAATAGACGCTTAAAAAACCTTTCTCAGTTATATTAACCTTTGAGGTAGTATATATATTTAAATAATTGTCAATATTATGTACATAATAGTATTAGCAACAAAACCAGTAATTTTTATTCTAAAAATGCATACATTATTGACAATATAGGATTATATATTTTGTTATCATCTTATAATTTCGTTGTTAATGATAGATAATCATAATATCGATAAAAAAGGTACCTTTCGATAACTGACATAATTTTTAAATCTAATAGAAACTTATGTAATCATTAATTATCAAAGTGTTTATTATTCCATTATTATAAAAATATAGTTGTCGGTATCCAAACTATAAGATATAACATTTAGACGTAATAACTTTTTACAAAATCGGGCCCTTAATGTATTTTATAAAGTTTGGTTCAGCTCTAAGAAATAGTTTTAGAGGGCAGATTTTTTGAAAAAAAAATCATTTTTTCTAAACCTTGGTCCTGCCTTCAGGAAAATTTTAGAAATCCGACCCGGCCCTAGTCCGGTATTCTCGACGTCTCCGTCCTCCTCTTGAGGTAGGTTACGCTATTTATGTATTGTGATTTTATAATTGTGTAATAAATAAATTATTTTTATGTGAATAATTAAAACGCGACGTAAAATACCCTCAAGGGTGGTAAATATTTTTATAAGCTGAAATTTTTTATTGAGTTTTGATAAAAACTGGATAATCATTTATACATTTTATATATACAAAATACCTACCAAGTTAAACTAGATTGGAATTCATTACCACGTGACGCTTGTACTTTAAGCGTCACGTGATAAGATTGGCAAAAAATCAATATTTTGTCATGGTCTCGTTCAAATTTTTATTTTACAAAAATATTATGGAATTATTTTTATTATATCTTTAATTTACTAAAAAAAATGTCTTTTGTATCTAATCTAATAATTCATATTTTCTAAAAATAATTCTACATTAGCCTTTTTCAGTAATCATTTTTTTTTTTATCGATCTTCATTAACTTTCGAATCTTCATCTTGTCTTGTCATTGTAAACCATCAAGTTTTTGGTTTTATAATTTATTTTATTATCGAATAAAGAAAAAACTACATTTTCCTCTTTATTGAAATAAAATAAATAGTTAATTATTTTACCAACAGTTATATTTGAAATATTTTTATTAATTTTTCTATATTCGTTCAGCTGTCTTAAAAACTATACATTATTCAGAGGATCTTCATGAGTTTTAGAAGACTAAAAGCAGTATTTAGAACAAAATAAAAAATAGTTATTATTAAAACAATTTAAATATTTTTATTCGTATTACAACAAATAGTATTACTTTTAACAAAGACATTTTTTCTTTTTTTGTCAAATTAAACTCTTTAAGGATTAAATATATTTTAATGAAATAAATTGTAATGATACGTTTAAAGATATCAGATCTAGAAATTGATGAAATATTTCATTTTGTAATACTAATAAAGTTAGTTGTTCCATCTTTTTTCGATTATAACACGTGATTCATTATTTTAGTTTTTAATCGTAGGTGGCAATGAGCGCTTTTGATAAAATTTTTAAACGCTCACGGTGTGTTAAAAAAAATTTTCTCATCATGGCGAATAATTTATAGAAATGTTTATTAAATACATAAGGAAATAACAATAAATCTGATTTTGTGGCAAACTTTGAGTTTATAGCGCCACGTGTTAATGAACTGTAATAAAGTAACACGACTTACTTCGCAAAAATGTAGTCGATACTGATTTTGAAGGAGAAATCCGTAGGCCGTTTATTAGTAAGCAACAACAGGTTATAAAAAACAAACAATCCGAAATGACGAACACAGTTAATAATAATCTTCGCATAATATCGCGGCATTTTCGCTGGCGTCGGTGACACGGTGTCCGGCGTGATCCTCGGCCGTTAAAAATTAGCAGCGTTGAAGGCGACCGTGCGGATCGGTTCGTCGAGTCCGGTCATGCGGAACGTCCGGAGCCGGTGGCGTACATCCTCAACTTGGACAACGGGAAGAAGACTCAACGTATCATTTGCGGCGGGTCGTCGTCGGCCGTGCGGCACTTGCTGGACTCTGCACGGTGGCGTATGGCACACGGCGTCGGTCGGTCAAATACTTATAGTTGGGCAAAGGCTGATTATGGTGGCGCGGGTCGCGGGGCATCGTGTACTACGAAGCGACGCGGGGCCATGTCATAATTTCACATTTCGTTTTTTTACTTAAGAATATTACAATAAACTATTTTGTACATTTTAGGTAAAAATGCAGGATGGTTGGAAGGATCAAATTTACTGTAATTATTTAATAAATTATAAAAAAAACTATTTTTTCTTTTTAAATTGTTGTATTTTTTAGCTCAACTATATATTGACTTAAGCCTTGTACTGCTCCATATATTACAGTTCAGGGCACAAATAAATAATACAGTTTTTGGTAAAGTTGAAAATGTGGATTGTTTCGTAAAATTCATTACATTTATTTCAAGGGATTATGACCCAGACACGATAAATGCACAATATTCATGGATTTGATGAATAAAAGATGTGTTAAAGTATTATTTTGTTTAAATGTTCAAATACTCATATTTTTTTTAGCTATCACTTAAAATATTCAAAAATTATATAAAGTTGTTATGCCTACGTTCACTCATTTACTGTATTTTATTGGTATTAAAATTACTTTAATATAATTAATATATGTGCTATATTTGTTTCACTTCTCCCTAAACCTTTCTAGTATTATTCTAGTATACTTTGTCATCTGTTTCTAAGTACGTGTTTAAAATAATACGCTGTTATTTGAACAGTGTTTGGGTAAGATCCACGTTCATTTTGACTACTATTTTTTGCACATTCTTATAAATATTTATAGACGCACTAATAAAAAATAAATTGGCTTCATCGTTATCTTAATCTTACAACGATTTTTTTAAGAACAAGGTAACACAACAATTTGTAGTCTAGTTTTGACTTATAACATTTTATCCGCACTCTATAATGTGTGGATATCTCTTCACTATTTGATGCTATGTGATCTGGTTACACGTAGTTATTGAAGTTTGTATATTGTTTTATCTATTCAGAAATAATAGGTATTTTATTTTAATGTACTTTACAATTTATGTGTCATATAGTCAAAATGTAATTTTAAATGCTATAATAAAAAAAAAAAAAATTCTACTAGTGTTTTACTTATTTTAAAATCGTACCATTCCATTGTTAATCAATATATATTTAAATAATCTAAAGCTGTAGTTACTCAAATTATAATAAAAAAAAAAGATGTAAAAATAATATTATATGATATGGGCAAAATGCGGTAGAGCACGAGTGAATTACTACATATAATTAATTATTATATTTTATTAGTGTCATGGTTTAAGGGTTCAAAAATAACAATGTTATTAGATTAAATTAGCCAAAAAAAAAATATATTTTTGAACATTTTGAACTTGAGATGTTTTTGTACTTTTTGATATCATGATATAGTTATTTTGTATATATTGTGTTCCCTATTGCAAGTGCAAACTATGAAAAAAAAAAATAGTTAATACTAGATGTAAGTTTATAAAATCCATAAATAATTTGTTCCTTTTACTAAGTGTAATAAACAAAAATAAGAGTAATTGAATTAGGAATGCTTGTAATAAATAAAAGGAATAGGTTATAGAATAGGAATGGGAAGGGCTGTATAAGACAAAACGAATTGTAGTGCGAAATCTTGCAATAAATAAAGAGAAAGGATTTTAAGGATAGATAATGGAAAGTATGAGCTGCGGTGGTTTTGTATGAAGAAATTAAGAGTGGCTAAATTTACCGGGCAGCGACTATAATAAAATGAAATAGAAAGGGATCTCGGGGTATGTGAACACGTCTAATATATGAATAAGATGGAATTACAAAGAAGGGTCACTACCTAGTTCGTGCACAGAAACGAGTACACGAATTTCTGGTGAGTCACAAATATGATATTTCTTTGTAAAAGTATTTTAGTTTATTCTCGATGACCTATGTTGTAAAACAAAAATAAGAAAAAAGGATAAGATAAGATGGAAGGGAATGTTATAGGTGTATCGCAAAATAAGAACTATCCCTTTTCTTGGGGTGTGTTGTTCGAGGGTCACTTGCTATCTTAAGCGGGCCATACACTATGCATTTTGAATGACAGTCTTCTTGATTGGCAGTCAAGAAGACTGTCATTCAAAATGCATAGTGTATGGCCCGCTTTAAGTACGTGCACAATAAATTAGAATGTTCTTACCTTAATTATATAATCCTCATTGATGCAATAATTTACTCGTGTAATAATAAAGAAAACATGAATTAAAATAACTAATTTGTATATAATTCCTTCGACTATTTTATTATTAAAAACACACGATACAGTAATAGTAAAGGAAACAAACAAAATCAAAAAAAAAATACAAAACTGGTTTAAAAGGCGAAAGAGAGCCGGACGATGATCGCGACGTGTTCGTATGTCGGTTGGATCGAAACAGGATGAGGACTATGTGCCCAGGGATATTCTTAATGTATTCCCCGGATCCCCTTCCACAGATGTGTATGATTATCGTCCAGCTCTTATTGGGTTTTACATTTTTATGTTTCTTATGATACCTTATTGATCAGGGTTTTTGTGAGTGTTGTGAAGGAGCGGATGTTTGTGGCGTGATCGTGGGAGTAGTGTTTTAGAGGATAGACGGTGTTTATTGTGTTTTATATGTTATGTGAAAAGATATTGTGTTGTAAAAGAATTTCTATATGTGTTGAGAAGTGAATAAGAAGAAAACAGAAGACTAAATTGTTTATGTGTGTAGGGCCTATTACAACACCTATCTTACTCTGATTGTTTATTACTAAAAATCGTCCACAGAGCGATCTAGGGTTAGCACTATCAGGGTAGATTTGAGCTCAATTCGGTTCTTTGCACAATAGATTATACTAGTGTCCTACACTCCGATTGCCCGCAATGTGGCCGAGTTCAGACTGGCTAGTCAACAAGTGGAGAGACACTTTTTAATTGCTTAAGTTATTACTATAATATTTCAACTCTGATTTATTTGTATCTCGTAGCTGGTTATATGCCAACATGAAATCTCAAATAATATCCTTATCTTCATGCAAAGACCCTTATGATATGTGGCCTATATCTTTTCAATCACCTGAAGACGACCTAGGTTAGATGCGACTGTACTATAGATATATGCACAATAGGTATGTTAGTGTTCTACAGTCTGTTTGACCGCATTGTGGCTGAGATCAAACTGGCTGGTCAAAAAGTGGGGAGACACTTTAGAGAACGCTTATGATTGATTAAAACCTTGAATACGATATTATTATGCTAGTACTCTTTCCAGCCAAGTTATGGCGCTTTGATAAGTAATAGAACACAATGCAATCTAATCATATATATATATATTTTTTTTTGAAGTGTAAATGTATATAAAGAAGTAAATAAATACCAATATTTTATATTTGTTGAAATATTTGTATCACAAAAAATATTCAACCGAAAATAAGATGTATAATATTTTTTCCAAATCCTAGTGATTAGGAATGGGATATAAAAACGGTGTAGATTTGATATAGAATTGTAACCAAGAGCGAACCATGCACTCACGCAGACTCCATTTGTGTATATTTGTTGAGAACTCTAGAGAGGTGCGTAGTTGTAGTTGTAGCAGACAGACTGCAAGAGCGCCAGAGCACACGGAAGAGCGAGGAGAGCACCCGAATTTCGGGAAAAATGGCCTTGTTATAGCCCTCAAAACTGGTTTTTGCGATCATCGGTGAGATTCTTGAAATATTTTTTGTTGTATTTGATTGGTCAATCTGATAGAATCTTTTACGTGGGCGTTTTATGGAATGCGTAAGAGGATGGTTGAATCTTGTGTAAGGTTATATTTTTTTATTCATCTTATCCATGAGAGAACACTGATTTGGTAATATATTTAATTAAGTATATGTATTATTTAATACATCTATTATGTGATACTACATCAGGGCTAAATTTATGAATATGGAGGTCTCGGCCCTTGTTATAGTTGGACAATAATAAAGTTAACTTTATGATTCCCCATCAATTGTTTTATGAGACTTTTTCAATGAATTATGTGTCAAATGGAAGTTAAGGATAAGGGTGGCTGACCCCAGCGTGTTGGGATTAAGAAGATGACAAAGAAGAAGATCATATATACTGTTATAAAAGATATGTATACTAGCATATAATATTATGTAATCATTTGTAAATGTATGTTACATATGATAATAAATAAAGTGTGCGTGCTAAGTGGAAGTTTAGGATATGTGTAGCCGACTTCAAGTATTTGGGGTTAAAGAAGGAAAAAAGAAAAAGACAAGGTGATATAAAATGAATATTATAGAAATAAAAAATAATACACCAAAATACCAAATTCTGACTTCTTTGTGTAATACCAAATTTAGTTAGACAAAATATTTAATATTTTACCAAATGTAAAACTAATAATTAACTTAATAGCAATTAAGTTACTATTACTTAATAATAATAAACAATATTTTTCACCAGTGATTGTTATTGAAATGTAAACTTATTTTTAAAATATTAAAATATTCTTTTTTTTTTGCAATTTTAATTGTTTTTTCTTGTATCAGATATCAATTTTCTTGTGAAGATTTTTTACTCCATTTTTTTTTTATGTCTTTGACGAATGATTTAAATCTTTCAACTATCTATAATATAAATACAAGAATATTAATCATGATTCAATAATTTAAGAATTAAGCAGTTTTTCCTAAAAGCATAAACAAGTTAATAATTTCATTGGTTTTTTATGTAAATTGTAGTTATTGAGATAAAAATGTCTTCTTAAATATAGACATTACATTATTATTAAAAATAATACTTACAGAGACAGTATTTTCTTTTTCTAAATATAACACCCTTCTGTATTCAGCACCACATTCCTTAGTAAAAGTTACACACTTATTATAAATATCCCCTCCAGAAAACATTGCTTTAATTTCTGTTTTAGATATACTACAGATATAGTGTCCTATTTCTAATTCCATATCTTCATCCGTGAACACGCCAATTACATGTAATATTCTGGCTTCACTTAATAAATCTGTTACTTCCCTTGAACACCACCCTAAAATATGTCAATAAAAAGTTAGCTAAGCAAATATAAGGTAACAGAACTGTATTTTGATTTTGGTTGCTTTTGATTATCAACTTTTTATTACAATCATATTACGAAGGACAATCAAAAATTAAGGTTACAAACACTTAAGCTCACTCAAAAAAAAAAAAAAAAATCTAGTACAATTAAGAATTCCCTAAATAGAGACTAGACAGTTGAAAGTTAACTTCTTCTCTGAACTCGCTAAATTCGTTTGTTCCTAGCCTTTCTTACAACTCATAACTTTATATATAACTTTTAGCAAATGAACAATTTAAAATAATTCTTTTGGCTTCGATGCGAAGCTGAGAAGGTATTGGTTTTACTGTGATGTGTTTTTTTTTTTTTTTGTGTCGGTTACCACTTTTTCTCAACTCTCACCGAACTGATTTCTTTCAATGATACATCAAAAGATCACAAATCGTATCTAGCCGAAGACATTATTCTCAAAAATTGAAAAAATTTTCCTCGTTTCCCGTAAATAGGGGAAACCTCCAAAAAAATTACAAATTTAAAAATCGCTAATTTTCGAAAATTTTTCAATTTTTTTTACTTAAAAGTGACATAACTTTTTCAATAATGAATATATAAATATAATTATTTTTTATATAGATGTGTAATATTATTACCTTTTGTTTGGTATATTTTTTTCATAAATTTAACCCTTATCCTGCCCACAAAAAGGGAATTAAAATGACAATTTTTTTCAAAAAAATTAACTTTTTCAACTTAACTTTTGAAAATGTTCCGGAAGGTCTGACACTTTTATATACATCTTAAATTAAAGTTAATGTAATATACTTTATCATGAAAAAAAAAAATTTTGGACTTTATTTTATCTTCATGCTGAAAACAGACATCAAACTTAATAAAAAAAATACGATTTTTTGTAAAAAAATTATTTTTTTATATTTTTAACTGTATAATGCTATAACTTTATGAAATATATATGGTTCAATATAACTCTTTATTTTATAGATGCATGATGTCTTCACCTATCATTTGGTATATTTTTTTATAAATCTGACTTTTTACCTGCTTACAGGTAGGGATTTAAAGTGACAACTTTTTCACAAAAAATTAACTTTTTTAACTTAAATTTTGAAAGTGTTCCGGAAGGTCTGACACTTTTATATACATCTTAAATTAAAGCTTATGTAATATACTTTATTATGGAAAAAAATAATTTCGGACTTTATTTTATCTTCACGGTGAAAACGGCTACCGAATGCTATTTTTGTGTGAAAATTTTCGATTTTATTATTTATATTACATTTAACTTTATAATGCTATGACATATTGAAAAGTGTATGAATCAACATTATTTTTTTATGAGAAATAATATTTGTATCCCTTTTTCATTCGACATACATTATCTTTATCAGTATATTAATAAGGAAATAGCAGATCTTGTAACTTTTGGAATAATCCACCAATTTTGTAAAATTAAACACTATCTAAAGATTTGCATCGAAGCGTTTTTTTTTTATAGTGATTTTAATCACTGTCAGATATCATTATTTTCGATCCAACTATGCCACGTCACCACTGTACCGCGACTCCTCTGTGCTGGTNCGAAGCGTTTTTTTTTTATAGTGATTTTAATCACTGTCAGATATCATTATTTTCGATCCAACTATGCCACGTCACCACTGTACTGCGACTCCTCTGTGCTGGNAACTATGCCACGTCACCACTGTACCGCGACTCCTCTGTGCTGGTTTTTTTTATGATAAGTGTGATAGTTTTGAAAAATAATGATAAAAAACTGTGTTCCGTCGTGATTCTGTGTTGAGGGCCAAGGCACGCACCACCGGTCTCGGTGGCGCTGTTGTCAACACCGACAACATCCTGCGTGTCTGTACCTATGGACCAGTTGCATTTGCACCACCATCGGCGCGGGCTGATGTAAGAATGTGGTTTTTATTGATTTTTGTTGTAACTTGGTTTGGTCAGTAACGGACATAACAAAATCATATACACAAACGGCACCTATTACAAGTTTTACCACTCACGGAACATATTGAATTGCAAGGCAAGACGGCTACAGGTAGGTTCTTTTATAATTTTAATGTATAAAAAAATATATGTACTATTGTTTGCTGTTTTAACTACTCATTTTATATTTGGTTAAGTAATTGAGATAAACCTAGATTAAGTATTAATTTGTTATTTAGTTTATGTTTTTTTGTAAAAGAAACAGTATTTGTTTATATTTTAATGTAAAAATATAAAAAATAATTAACATACAGTCCAAAATATTGGGTTTTATTGTATTTCCTTTTTTTTATATTAGAATTAAATCCAGCAGTTTTTAAAGATTGTAGTTTCAAAACAAACTGATCATCCACTCTTTTGAGCAATTTTTTTTATCCCTGATTAGGTATTTGAAATAAGTAAGTTATCAAAACCAAATGTTAACTAAATGACTTTTAAATGACTATAATAACGTAAAACATTGGTTAGTATGGAGATCTATATCTATATCTGAGAAAAATATTCCCAATTATAAATTAAATAATATTTAAATAAATATAAATAAATGTTAAATAAAATTTAACAACAAAATACTCATGTGTATAATAATCATATTTCATAATAATCTACTAATTATTATTCCAAATAACAGATTGACGAAAGAAAACTTAATAATCATTAAAACAATCTTTAAATGTATGGTTATTAGTGAAAACTACATCCACTTACATAAAATAAAAACGAAATTGAGATACGCAAAACAAAATTTTATTCTATTAAACTAATATGCATGAACTTAAAAAAAAAAAAAAAATTTCTAAAATAACGTCATTGAGTTCTTACATTTAAAAAAAATGTTGAAAATTTTATGTCGTTAAGTAACATTTCCAGCGATCCAGTTAATTTTTCAATATTTTATTATACAGGGTGTTCAGTAAGTCATGAAACGGGTTTCTATTGTTCTCATTGTTTGTAACTTCAGAGTTACTGAACACTCTGTATAGTAAGATTTACATGAATATTATTTACCTGTTTCGTTTACTTTATGACCCATGGCTCTTTGATTTAAGCAATTCATTAATTCAAATATTGCTATTTCGAAATTTTCTCGGGTTTTTTTCAAGTTTTCTTGGTAATCATTTGCCAATACTAACACTATTAGATATGCCTTCGAAATATAAAAATATATAAGATTAATAAACAATAATTTTTAGAGTAAATTTTCAATTTTTTTATTTTTTATTTCCGTTAACATAGATTTTAATGGGTTTATCAATGATATCTTTTTTTGAAAAATTTTAATTTTAAATAAACTAATTATATCTGTTTCAATGTGTTAGATATATTTTAAAAATCACCATTACGTAATTTTGAAAATGTATCGATTATAAAGTCTAGAAGATCAGTTACTGATATTTTATTAAATAATAATATTTACATTAATAACATATAACAATAATTAAAATATATACAGAAGTCTGATATTAACATCAGATTTAAGATATTATACAGTCAGATGTTTATTATATTGGAAACTACTGTTATCTCTTGGAAGTTAAATTTTTCGTGTATAATTTAATAATGTGGTAATAGAATAATAATGTAATAACTGAAAAAATCGATAATCAATATACTGTGTTATCGATAGTATTATGTTATTATACCGAGTTTTTTTAGATATCATGAATATCCGAAAAATCATAACGATTTCGAAGTCCGAAAATATATCATAGACGAACATCATCTTAATTAATATAATATTATATTTATTCCTATAGTTTTTTTATATCTTAAACTAATTAAGATACGATCTAAAATAAGTAATTTTTTGAAATCCAACAAAGATAAAAATGACTTTGACATTAGAATAGCCTTGTTTATAATAATTATGTTGACTATGCTTCATTGTATTAATAATTGTTATTATGAAATATTTAAAGAGTATTATATACTATTAGCTTTATTTACAGCGTCAATACTTACACAATTGTAGATGGCCTTAAAATATGTTGAATACATTTTGACTTTTCAGAAATCTTGAACTAAAGTTTCAAAAAAGCTGAAGTCATAGGTTTATAAACTAAAAAAAAAACGTATTTTTGTCATTAAAAAAAATCAATAGATAAGTAGGGTTCCTTAAATGATTATTTTGTTATTTTATGTAAACACAACAAACATGTGTCAATAAATTTAATTTTAATTATATTTATAGCGTACAAGGTCAAGCAAATGAATATGTTTAGTTTAGAAGCAAATAAAATTTTTGAATCTATGTTCAACGACCATTTTTAAATTTGAATATTAAAATTCAATTTATCTTATAAAATATATAATGTAACAAGTACTGATAATTAGAAAAAAAAAATTTATATTTTCCTTTGCCTAGTGTTTATTTTACAAATTCAGTTAATTTTAATATGCATATGTACTTACAAGAATTTTAAATAACCAAAAAATACATTGACCTATTATTTATGTAATTTTTAATAGTGTAAAAATTATTCGTAGGATAAACTGTAAGACATGCATCTATTCTGTTTTTATAGCATGGAATTTCTATACTTCAATTTTAAAAGGAAAATAATGATTTTAAGAAAATAAGTTTAAGGAAAATTTACATTATTTTAATACCTCTTAGTCAAAAACTTTTTATCTACGGTATAAAAATGAGATACTATTGTTTACCAAACCTAATTATTAAATTAAATTTTTTATCAACATTTAAGTTATGCGTCTAATAAAGTGTTACCCATCTCATCTGCTATAGAGCGTCAAAATAAAAACGACGCTATGATTTTGGGAGCATATTAACCAAAATACGTTACAAAATTTTTTAAAATATCATATGGCTTAATTTAATATAAAGGATGTCTCACCAAGATTCACTAATTTAACTATATAAACTAATATATATATATATATATATATATATATGTGTGTGTGTATAATAACTAAATTTATTTATAATACATTTATTTTATGACAGATGTTATATATAAAACTAAAAGAAAAGAAAACAAATAATGTATAGACATAAGATATAGAGAATGTAATCAAATAGTATTAGAATTATAGGATTGTAATTATAATATGTATTAGATAAATATGTAAGTTGGTAATTGAATAAATGATAATAAGTATCTTTATTAATATTTTGAGTCTCCCTGAATGACTATAAATCATATATATCAAGCTTAATATCACATAATGCTGTTTAAAGTAATCCTTAAAAATAAGTCTATTAAATGTAACAGGTATTTGTAGCACATTATGCGTGTATAGTCAAAATAACTATTTATGAAAATGATTTAATATGAAATAATACGATTCCCTTGAGTTGTATTTGATCTTTATATGCAGAAAATTGTAATTACTTTTCATATTTTAAAAATATAAATATGCAATATTGGACTTTTTTTTTGATTTTTAATAAGAATTTTTAATAATTTATCAAAGTAGTATTGTAGTGGCATTAAAAAAGGATATAACTCTAGACTAGCTGCTCTGTATGCATGATTTACAAAGATATTATAAACTAATTATCTATTTTTAAAACAATATCTAGTAAGATTTTTAATTTAATTTCCACAAAAATCATAATATGATTTAATATTGTTACCATTTGAATATTAATAACAGTATTATTAAAAAAAGTTTGTTGTTTCTAGTATTGCCAACTGTAAGAACATTTATTACTATGTTCTTACCACTTATAGTACACACGTTTTATTTCTATTTATTTAATTCGTAATACATATTAATTAGCATAATGGGAGATGCTGATGTGACAATTCTACTCGTCTGTAGCTAACAGTGACGTCGAACTAACAAAGGGCAGTTGTGTTTNTCCGGAGCTACTGACGTCGAACTAACAAAGGGCAGTTGTGTTTGAGTGGCCGTTATAGACATAGTTTTCAATATTATTACTTACGTCTTATTTATATTATTTATAACTTGTTTTATTCAACGACCCGTCTATTGACAATCGTCATCATAGCCAACCAACTCCGTCTCACTTGGATATACCTACTAACCAACTGTACTAGGATTCAGGTCAGACGTATTGTACATTACATATAACTTATATTTACTAAACATCTGAAATATAACTTTACTTTGTCGTTGACATAAAACAATAGTCTAATTTTATTTAATAATCTATCCCCTGTAACTAAGGTACACGATTGCCTGTGTCTCCTTCAGGCAATTAAAACTCATTTAAGGAGATAGGGACGATATTTGGGCAGACGTCGGGTAGCTTCCGATTCTTGGATTTGACCAAGATCCTCAACTATTTAAAAAGCCCCTAACACACACAAGAGTTTTGTTTAGTATTCATGTTAAAAATGGCTTTTTAAGGTAGCGTAATCTTAAGAAATTTTTCTTTTAAGATAGTTCTATTGATAATTGGCGTTAATAGGTTAAAACAGATTAAAATTGTATTGACACATAGGTAAAATAATTGGTCTATCGAGAGCTATAAAAATGTTCATGGACAAACACAAAAAAAAACACATTTTGAATTTGAAATGATTTAATAAATGAAAATAAGACTATTAAAAAATGAATAAGTCTACAGATTGTGCAGTAATAATTACTATATTAGCATATTTTAGTGAAAAAAATTTAAATATTTGTTTAATTTATTTTATACAAATTTATTTCCAATAAAAATTTAACAGCAAAGTGTCAGAATTATTTAAATTAGTTATTTGAATAAATACTAAAATAACAACTTTTTTTTTTTAATAGCGTTTAAAATAAAAATTTAGTTTTAAACATTTAAATTAGATGTTCAGAATAGTAGAACAAATTAATTATGTTCTTTTCTGTAATTGAATGTGAATACGTTTCACTGAAAAAATATATTTGTAAGACAATTAATTTGGTGGAAAATAATTTAGATTATAGTTATATATAACACAAAACAATGAGAATTAAAAAATTAATTTATTTATTGAATATTTTAAACAAACAGACGTCCTACCAGGTTTATATTTATAATATATAATATGTAGCTATAATTTTTTTAATTTTTAGCAATTTGTTTACAACACTTGAGAAAATCCTAAGCCAATAAAATGTATATACTCGTGATTTCATTACATATTTTATTTTATCAATACTTCACATTAAAATAAAATTAATTATACTCATTACAATGTAATAAAACAGCATAAAAAGGTAAAATTAGATTAAATTTGATATTATTATTATAATTATTACTATAATCAATCATACAATAAAAAATATGTTATAAATTTTGCTATATATTCATTGGGTTAATATTATTTTATATTAAATAAAAGAAATTATTCAAATTGATTGAAAAATAAATCTTCTAAAGTGTAACAAATTTATTAATTTCATTTCAAAGTATACGTTCATATACACGTGTCGTAAACCCGAGTATTTATATAACAAAATATTTGTAATATTTTTAAGGGGTATATGTTAATTTACAAAACTGAATATTAGTTTACCTCCAGAAGACATTTTTGTCAACTACCAACTATTGACAACGGGCGAAGAATTACACCACTACTGGTACTGACCATTGGCTAGCCCATACTAGTGTATTACAGGCTGGTGTCCTGTCCAAGTGCTGATCCAGTATTAGCGAACAGTATTTGGATTGCATAACCTACAAAATATTGTCGTAAAACTACTTATACAAAAACTCCAGCACTTATCTATCAGTACAAAAAAGCGTTATCATCTCTGACATATGCGTCATATATCTCAGGGTCACATTAGTTGTAGCGGCTACTGCACTTATTGTTATTTTCTGATTGGGTACATCCCTCAAACAAACCACTGATTACACCGGCACGCAAAAAAAAAAAAATTGTCTGTACTTTTGACCGGACCCACCTACAGACATGTATTTTGACCCGTTAAATCCGAATTTGAAGTTCGTTTGGCCCGGTCACCCTTCAGATTGAGTAAAATGCAAAAAACCAAAAAATAGGTAAAAAATTGCAAAAAACTGCAATCAAAGCGATGAAAAAATTTTGTGATCCCTGATCAAGTATGATTTTTATGTATTTCAATTTACTGAAACTGAATCTGAACGTTAATTAGCCTGTTGAGTCGTTAACATTTGAAAAATAGCAAAAAAACCCAAAAAATTATAATAAATTATGAAAAATCGAAATTATCCAAATGAAAACAATTTTTTGGATTCAGATTGAGTATGATTTTTATGTATTTTATTCCACTGAATTTGAATCTGAAGTTTTCTTGTCCCATTAATAAGCGACGTTACAATTTTTGTGTTAATTTCATTATTTTTTAAAATGTTGACGTATACGCCAAAAAACTAGTATAACTAAAGAAATTTATATATGATTAATATAACACGTATTTATAAGAACAAAAATTGAAGGGCTATTTACAAAACTACAAAAGTGATAATATTAAAAATAAAAAAAAGACAAATTGTGTTTCTGGCCTTCCTGAAAAGTATAAATAATGTTGCATCAGAAAATAGTATTTTAATAAACAATATAAGGGACAGGAGATGGACCTCAAAATATTTAACCAATTATAAATCAAAAAATAAATAATTTTCAACAAAATNAGATGGACCTCAAAATATTTAACCAATTATAAATCAAAAAATAAATTATTTTAGGACTAATTTAGTAGTCAACGATAAATCCTACCTATATGAACAGTGTTAGTTTTTTATACTTTAATTGACTTTTTTTAAATAAAATTTTTCAGTGGAAATAGTATCCAGCAGTCGTAAGGCTAGTTCTTACATTTTTGGTAACGTATAAGCAGCTGAGGTAGAGGATAATACTGGAAACACAAGTGTGTGTTTCAATTATAATATATTTTGTAAAGCTATTTCCATAGACAAGCCAATTCTCGAACTAGTAGTCTGCATATACATATATATAGTCTGTTATTGTAGATCGCCATTAAATATATAAATACGTAAGAACGACAAGAAACTATACTTTGGAAGTATCTGTTACATGTGTATACGTCACTCATAAGGCTAGGTTCTACCTTTTTAGTAACGTATAAGCAGTTAGGGTAAAGGATATTAACAGGTATATTGTAATAATATTTAAAGTTATTTGTTATTACACTTATTATAGCAGTAGTACCACGTATTACCCATTTAACAAAACCCTAAATGTCTTATCACTTATCGATAATCGGCGGCATTTTAATAAATGACATGGGTATGTAGTGAGGGTGATGCAGCTCGTATTGGTGTATGTATAACCCTTCCGTATTCATAATGCAAATACTTGCCAAGCACAGTAAAACTAATTAGGGCAGTTTGCGCTTACGGCGGTGACAGCCAAACCATAAACGTCAACCAAATACTTAATCCAATCGCTCCATCTAAACAATACAATTAAACAATTAGAACAGAAAGCATCAGTTTTCTAGATCATGCTAGGAATCATTGGCCTACCCCCTTCCGACTATAAAAAGCCATTTTTTCTCGTCTAAACCAGTTCTTTCAGCGATTTTAAAATGCACAAAATCTACGACACACTAATCAATAGTACACTCTCTGGGATTCAGCCGATTTATAAATTAATTTGGACTTAGAACATTTTTCTTTAAAACTAAATAATAACACTTGGAAATTTTAAAGTGAATTTTGTTATTGTGAGTCTTTTAATTTAATTGAATTTGTTCATTTAATAATAGTATTTAATTTTTCATATTATGGAAATAAATATCTAATAATATTTTGAGCATTAGGTCTTTTTTTTTTAATAATTTATTTTAATAATAATAAACCTAACCCAACGTAAAATTTTTATCTAACAGTAGAAATTTATTGTGAGCTTTTCTTATTGGGTAATTAGTCTCGTCGATAATGTCTTTGTTTTAACAAACATCGCGCCGGCAGACAACGCAGAGAAACTTACGAGTATATTTGCAGTGTTTAATTTTTGTCTTGGTGATTATTGTGCCGCATCCTATCAAGACGTTAGCACCGGGACACATTGGGCCATCACAATTCCGCCATGGTAAATTTTTTACATAGATATAAATATTTTTGAATCTTGTTTTGACCAGGCCAGAGGTATATTTCAGAAATATTGGTGTCAATCTTTCAATAAAATATGTTATCTCAAAAGAAAATACTTATTCAACAAACGTAAAAAAATGAAAAAAGTCAGGTTATAATTATAATTCTAATAAAATATAGTGTTTAGAATCTTCTACAAGTAAAATCAGTCATAGACTTTGTGTAATTAAATTATATTATTTAAAATTTGAATTGTTTTCGTATGTAATTTTATTGACTGTATGACGTGTAGTGTAAATCGTATACGTTGCGTATTTAATACCTGAATCAACATTAGATTATTTGAAATATTATTGCATTACATATGTAGTATCACATTTTAATACATGTAATAATTAATACTTATATTTAATAAAATACATCACCAAATCAGTGTTTCCCCGTGGATAAGATGAGTAATAAAATAATACCCTTACACAAGATTTAACCTCCCTCTTACGCATTCCATAAAATGCCCACGTAAAAGATTCTATCACATTAACCAATCAAATACAGCAAAAAATATTTCAAGAATCTCACCAGAGATCGCTAAACCAGTTTTGCAGGCTATAAAAAGGCCATTTTCCCCCAAATTCGGGTGGTTCCTCTGCGGCTTCGCTTCCCTTAGTGTGGTTTGTTTCGCGGTGGTACGATTTCTGAACATCCCTCTAGCGGATACTGGGACGCCTTGCCATTCTATCTATACATCTCTACAGCTCTCTGGAATACTCAACCAAGATACAAAAAGTGAATGTGCGTGAGTTTATGTTTCATTCTTAGTTACAATTTTATATGAATTCTACATAATTTTTACCCTCTTTCGTAATTACTGAAAAATATTATACATCTTATTTTCGGTCGAATACTTTTGGTGTGTAAATATTCTAACACATATAAAATATTGGTGTTTGTTTATTTTCTTTTTATTTACATTTATATTCATATATATATAAGCATATTCTAAGGTAATTAATTTGATTGAATTGTATTTATTACTTATTGAAGGGCCACAACCTGGCTGGACAGGGTAATAGTACAATAATATCATAATTAGAATTTTTAGTTAATATTAAGATTTTTTCAAAGTGTCTCTCCACTTTTCGACCAGCTAGTCTGATCTATGCCATAATGCCGGCAATCGGAGTGTAGGACACTTATATAATTTATAACGCATAAATTATTAATATTATTTTGTAATATACATTAGATATTCTAAGGTACTTAATTTGATTGAGTTGTATCTAATACTTATTGAAGGGCCACAACCTGGCTGGACAGGGTAATAGTACAATAATATCATAATTACGATTTTAGTTAACCATAAGATTTCTTCATAGTGTCTCTCCACTTATCGACTAGCTAGTCTGATCTCTGCCACAGTGCGGGCAATCGGAGTGTAGGACACTAACATAACTTATCGTGCATAAATCTATAGTACAGTCGCATCTAACCTAGGTCGTCCTACAGGTGATTGAAAAGAAGTAGGCCACATATCATAAGGTTCTTTGCATAAAGACAAAGATATTATTTGAGATCTCGCGTTGGTATATCCAGCTACGAAATACAAATAAATCAGAGTCGAAATATTATACTAAAAACTAATATTTTACTAATATATATTTATAACTAACATCATACTAAACAACTAAAAGTGTCTCTCCACTTATCGACCAGCTAGTCTGATCTATGCCACAGTGCCGGTGATCGGAGTGTAGGACACTAGTATAATCTATTGTGCAAAGAACTGAAATTGAGCTCGCATCTACCCTAGATCACCATTTGGACGACTGAAAAGACGTAGGCCACTTGGAAATAGTTTTGTTGCACAGGACAGTTATGTTGCTTAGAAGTTATTCATTTGCTTTATAAATTATTAAATAATAAATATATTAACGTAAAACATCATATACAAGGTTAAGAACTATACTACATAAATATACAAAAGGTTTTTGCAAAAAGACAGAGTTATAATAAACTTAGATTTCACCTTGGGTAGATTTAATATAGAATTGTACTAGAAAAGTAGTTACACGCGAGTTGGTAATAATATAAACCGTATAAATATAATTGCGTACATTAATGCGTAAACGTATACATCGATAATTGTTACATCAACAACATCATTCATCTCAAGAGAATATCAGGATAGTCAGAGGTAAGTGGAACATTTGTTTACATAATAAGTCTATAATAGATCCTTTACTGAAGAATTTTTTAGTAATAAACAATTAGAACAGGATAAGTCATTGAGAATAAACTAAAATATTTTTATAAAAAACACGATACTTGTGACTCGCCGGAAATTAGTTTACTCGTTTGTGTGCAGGAGCTAGGTAGTGACCCTTCTTTGTAATTTCATCTTATTCATACATTAGACGTCTTTACACAAGCATACATACCCCGAGATCCCTTTCTATTTCATTTTATTGTAGTCACTGCCGGGTATCTATAGACACTTTTACTTTCCATTGGTGCCCATCCTTTTTACACTACGCCCGCTACGAGTATTATTTCCTTATTGGCCAACTGTGTTACATTTCTTTACATTTCTTCCCTTTCACACTCCGAGCCCCAAATACCTTTAGTAACATTCCTTCGCCACCTTATTATAGCCATTTTATTTATTACAAGACTACATACCTACACTCTCTCGTTTCTCTTTTTGTTTATTACAAGCCTATTCCCCTTATACTTTTTCTTTTTGTTTATTACACATAGGACGTAAAGTAAGTACAATTTAACCTATGCTTTCAAACATCCAGTAATCTATCGCGTAATAAGCCATTAATAAAAATTAAAGAAATTAAATAAATTAATAAAAAAAAATATGTAACTTTAAAGAAATGTTAATATTGCAAATACTCCATTTCCTAGTATTTCATTAATTACCATTTGCTTAAACTCTTTTATTATTTTTATTTTTAAATTAATTAAATGAAATTATATGAATATAAAAAAATTAACATTCCAAATATTCCCCTACAATTCATTATTACAATCTATTATTTCTTTTATTTCCCTAATTTATTCTTTTTATTTTTGGTTAATTACACTCGACATTTCAGAGTACTTGTGTCTTGCACTTCGTCTGCACTTCATACCTAGGTGTTACCTTTATTCCCTTCCTATAAGAACGTCCTTTTGACACAGCTAATCCGGAGTGTCACCCGAACACGGTAACTGCTAAAACCAAATTATTTTTTATTCACGTGGCTTAAAAATATTATTAGGATATGCAAATAAAATAGATGTCAAAATGAATTTAACAGACATACCGTTGGGTATTTCTGTCCAAATAATAAGGTTGGCGGATTATTTTAAGCAATTACAAGTACAAGTAAACCGAGAGCGGCACAGAATCTACAATAAATTGAAAAATGAAATTTAAATTAACTTAAATAATAGTAATGAAATACAATAAATGATTGGATATAGGGATTACAATTATTTGTTATTTTAGAATATTTTAAATAATAGTTAAAAATATTTGTAATAAAGTTCATATATCGAACTTGAATTATTATATTTTGAGATTTTATTTAGTATATTATCACAGGCATTAAAATCGTAATATTTACCAAAGTATGTATTCTTAAATTTTGCCTTGTAGAATAATATTGTTATCAGCACATCATTGAATCTGTATAGTGAATTCTCTAAAAATTACAATTGTATTAAAAAATATATCAATTTTTTTAAAAAATTTTTTAATTATTACTCTGGTCATTAATATTTTTCTTCATATCAACGACAGTACTTTTGAGGTTTTCATTGTCATTTTCGCTCAGTGTTACTACCTAAAATATGCAAAATAGTTATTGTTATACATTTATTAAATACCCTTATTTTTCAAGTTCCATATTTTAATAGGTACCCGGAAATTTTTTTTTAAATTGTATTTAAACAAATACCCTGTAAAATTTGAACGCTATTAAACTTTACTAACATTTGGCTCTTTAATCTTAAAGTTTAACATATAATTAAATTTATGTTGCTTATTATTCGAAAAAAAATTTAATTCACAAAAATTAGTATAGAATTTAAAGTATTTTTAATTTACTAAAACAAGATCATTTTATAATTTCGGAAGTTATTATATAATGATGAGACGAATGTTGTTAGTTTTATCATTAGTCACTTCCCTGTAAATTCAAACTAACAAGTTAACTTCCATCGATAGTTGGATAATTACGAGTATTATTTTATAAAATACTAATGACCAATATAGCTATAATAACTACTTTTAACTACTGTTGTTATTAATGAGTGCATAAAAAAATTGTATTGATTTATACATTTTTCAAAAAGTTATAGAAATATAAAGTTAAAAATGTAAAATATTAAATCGAGAATTTTAACACAAAAATAAACTACGGTAGCCATTTTCACCATAAAAACAAAATAAAGTCCGAAAATTTTTTTTTCATGATAGAATATATTACATTAGCTTTAATTTAAGGTATATATAAAAGAGTTAAAAGTAAATTTTACAGGACTGTAATAAGGCCAGCTATGATATATGGTTCAGAGTGTTGGGCAGTTGATAAGAAAGTAGAACAGAGAATGAGAGTAGCAGAGATGAGAATGCTTAGATGGATGAGTGGAGTGACTAGAAAAGAGAGAATAAGGAACGAGCATATAAGAAGGAGTATAGGTGTAGCGTCAATCGTTGATAAGATGAGAGAAAATAGACTTAGATGGTTTGGTCATATTATGAGGAGAGAGGAATTGGAAACTGTAAGTACAGTTATAGAAATGAATGTTGAAGGAAGAAGAAGTAGAGGAAGACTAAAAAAGAGATGAAGGAATGTAATACACGATATAACACGATATAAGGACTGTTGATGTGGAGATCGTGTCAATTGGAAGTTTAGGATAAGGGTGGTTGACCCCAAGTAATTGGGATTAAGGCGATGAAAAAGAAGAAGACCTATAATATATGAATAAATACTTATTATAGTAATTAAATTTGAATGAAATTGATATTTAATAATTTAATATTGTAATTTTTACTTATCTATTATATCATACTTTTATGGAAAACGTGTATAAAAATAAAATTTTCATCAGAGTTAAAAATATAATTTTCTAAATCAATTTTTCGCGTCAATTTCATATCTGCAATTAGATTTTTTTCAGTTAACTCTAATTATACTGGAATATTTCTAAACATTAGTATATTATAAAATACTAGTAATAATAGCGTATACAGAATATAGTTTTGGATATTTCAATAGTAGCATCTATGTAAACACGAAGAGTTATATAGAAATGATAACTAGGGTTTATTTCGTTGTAAACACAAAAAATAGTGATTTTAACGAAATGTTGAGATTTTCTCATAAATTAATGTTAATAGTAATTATATAAGTGTATAATAAAAATTGATCACTTGTAGCTAATATTATTTTAAATTAAAATTATATTAAAAATATAAATTTAAAACTAAAAAATAATAAAATATTTTACACAAAAAGCATCATAAATACTGAAAAATTGCGGATACGTATTCGGAAACAATGTTACTATTATCCATATTAAAAACATAAATTTTGTTGTGGGTTTTTGAGTTGAATATTTCTAATATTTTTTAGTTTTAAATTAACATTTTTAATATAATTTTAATTCAAAATCCTCATAAAATTTTCTATTTAATGATATCAATTTTGAACTTACAAGTTAAGCTAAAAAAAGTTAAAAGTACAACATTTTTACGTTATTAACTTATAAAAATCAATTTTAAAGGAAAACAAAATAGAATAAACATGACATTTAGAATCGAAGTTTTGCACAAAGTATTTTTAACATATTAGAATACTTTAGTTAAGAATATTAAAGTGATATAATTATTTTATACTTTCTAAACTATTTAGAAATCATAAAAAATTAGTTCTATGGAGCTAAATTCTTGGCGGCACATTGGGATGTGGTATATGTTTTGTGGTGGGATTTAATTCAGAAAAATGCGTGACGAAGTCGAATAACGAACTTTTATAACGAAAAAACTATGATGCTATATAAATATGATAAAGTGTTGCATCATTATATGTGTGACAGGATATGAAACGTACATTATTAGTTTTTATAATTAGTTATTCAATTGCAGTTATCAATATTTTAATTAAAGAAAATAAAATTCAAACCTTAATTTGATAAGTATTCGTAAAAAACTAAAATAATCCAGCGAATATTCGCTGTTAACTCGCTAAAGTACCACGTGACACCTATTTGCAGTGAAAAATTCGCCGCATCAAATTCCAGCTTATATGTTAGAGCTGCTTCTTTAAATAAGTGTTTTATATGCGTGTTATTACCTTACTGCACTCGTAAATAAATATTTTATTTTTTTATTTAATTATTTAATATATTTGACTAAATTTAGTATTGAATAATTTGTAATAAGCAAAAAGAATGAGGTCGGGCGCCTTGTAATAAATAAGAAAATATGAGGCAACAGATCGCTTTGTAAAGAGAAGAAGATAATGGCTCTCGGGTGTGATCGGTAAACGGTCACCCTCAATAATAGAATGAAAGTAAAAGGGATCTCGAGTATGTATGCGCCTACAGAAGTACGTCTGATATATGTATATATTATATGAGTAAAGATGAAATATTAACAAAAGGTTACTATTCAGTTCTTGCACAGAAATGTATACACGAATTTACATGAGTCGTGAGTATCATATTTTTCTTATGTAGTTATTTTAGTCATTTCATTTCCGACGACTTACCTCACTCTAATTGTTTATTACTAAAAATCCTCCATTGAAGGTAATATTATATATTTATTATATGAATAATTGTTTTCACTTACCTCTAATTATCCTGATATGACAAATATTTTGTTATGATGAATCATAAAGTTGATGTCACTATTAACGATATGTATGTATGTACGTTTGTGTAAGCACTTGATATTATCCGATTTATATTATTATATTAACTCACGTGTAACTGTCTAATATTAACGTATTTATAATTTCATAATTTTTAAAACCAGTAAAGAGATTCTAAATAACATAACTGTCTAGTGCAAAAACTATTTCCAAGTGGCCTACGTTATTTCAGTCTATAGAGTGATCAAGGGTAGATGCGAGTTCAATTTCAGTTCTTTGCACAATAAATTATACTAGTGTCGTACACTCCGGTGGCCCTCACTGTGACAGAGATCCGATTGGCTAGTCGACAAGTGGAGAGACACTTTGAAGAACTCTTCAGGTTAATTAATATTTTGATTGTGATATTATTGCACTAGTACTCTGTCCAGCCAGGTTATGGCCCTTCAATAAGTTATAGAACTCAATGCAATATAATCTTGTGTTTTTTTGAACTATGTTAAGGTGTATAGTAAAAATATTTATATTAAATACCAATATGTTTTATGTGTTGAAATTTTTGTATCATCAAATAGTGTTTGGCTGAAAATAAAATGTATAATTATTCTTCTAAGTCCCATTGACTAAAAATGGAATGTAGAATGGTGTAGATTTGATATAAAATTGTAACCAAGAGTAAACTATATACTGACGTAGATTCCATGTGTGTGAACATCGCCCAAGAATTCCCATTTTTTTTGGAAAAAACTAGTTTTGCTATCTTTAGTGAGATTCTTAAGATATTTTTTGTTGTATTTAATTGGTCAGTATGATAGAATCTATTACGTAGGCGTTTTATGGAATGCGTAAGAGGGAAGTCGAATTTTGTGTAAGAATATTATTTTTTAATTCATCTTATCTACGGGGAACATTGATTTGGTGATATATTTATATTAAGTTTATGAATTATTTATTACATGTATTAAAATGTGATACTACAAATTTGAATCATTATATCTTTTTTCATTTATTTCATGGTTACTTATATTTTTTAAAATACCGTGCTTAAAAATCAATAAGTAAAATTCAAATAGAAAACAATACAATAGAAATTATGTAACATTAAGTATTTTTTTAGCAAATTGTGTTTTTACTATTTTCATCGAAGGAACTTCGTTTCTATTGGGTGTTGTATGGCACTATTTTTGAATTTTCACATAAATGAATTACATAACACATCATAATTATCAATTTACAAAATTATGACTTTTTTTTATCAAATCGACTGTATTCAATCAACACTTTCAGTTTTATGAGTCAGATTCAAAAATGTTTTATCTATTGTATTTGATACTTTAGTAAACACTAGTACATAACCCAACCAGTTACTATCAGGGGTGGACTAAGAAGTATTCTCTGTTAATAAAAAAATCGTTCCGCATCAATATATTTACCGGCTCTATTTATTGTATTAGTCAATAAAAAATTATAGACCAAAACAATAAATGTTATCAATTAAGAAAATATATCCTCATGACCCCATTGAAATACTTATACTATTGGTTTTTAATGTCTTTTATTTTAAAAATAATTTGATAATTTTCACACGGAAAAAATTAATAGTTAAAATAATGACTAGTGTAATAAAAAAAACGGTAGCACAGTGAGGTCCTGGCACATAGTGATTAAAATTACTATTATAAGAAACGCTTCGATGCAAATCTGTAGATAGTGTTTAATTTTAAGAAATTGGTGGATTGTTCAAAAGCAAAATTCTAACTAAAAAGAAACACGGTAAAATTGCAAAAACATCATTGCCACAGGCAATGATTTTTACTGAATCGACATATGTTCATCGCATTCGTTTTTTGATAAAACTGGCAATTTAAGCTAATTCAAATGTTAAATTTAATTTTTTCGACTTAAAAAAAAAATTGAAATAAGTTAACTTAATATTTTATGTCAATTAAAATCCCCCCCTGTGGTCAGGTAAAGAGTCAAATTTTCAAAAATTTATATCAAATGAAAGAAAAATATCTAAGGTTTCAATGTGTAAAAGAATTATTTTAAATTTTTCATTTATCAAAAAGTTATGGCAATATTTAGAAAAAAAAATGTCGAAATTTACTAATTTTAAAAATCGTAATTTTTTGGGGAAAATTTACTATTTACGGTGAATGAGGTCAAAATTTTCAATTTTTGAGGGTTATTTCTTCAACTAGATATGATTTGTGATCTTTTGACGTATCGTTGAGGAAAATTGGTCCAGTGAAAGCTGAGAAAAAGTAGTGACAGACTCACAAAAAAAAAATAAATAAACACATCGTGATAAAATTAATACCTTGTCAGCTTCGCATCGAAGCTTAAACAGTTGGAATAACTAAATAAATGATTGGGTTAATTGATAATTGAGTTATTCTAACTGTCTTAATTTTAGTTGTCACTATTGTTGTGCGGGCCCACGTGGTAAAAGGAATTAAACTTAATAAGAAAAAGAAAACACTCACTTTTCAATAAAACTTTAGAATATATAATTTGATTGACACAATTAATAATACAATACACGTTATTTATTAATATTAATACAAATGAATAGAATAATAAAATAGAATGACATAGAATGATATAGAATGATTTAGAATGATATAGAATGAGTGTAACTAGCGCATACTAAACCACGACTGACTGTAGGGTACTTACAGTGGGAGTCCTTTGCCCATGGTTGCCCTAAAACCCTTGGTCAGCACATTTCTGTGTTCGACGACAGTCGGACGACCATGTATTATATACTCTACACAATTATAAAATAATATTCAGGGGTTCTTAACACTATATTAACCGATTATATAGTTATTCAACCAATATTTTTTCCCTGCAATTTTTTAATTCTTTTTTTAAAGACAATAAATATGATAAACGTTACGGGATAAAAGTTTTATTCTATTTAGTGTGTCAATGAACACTAAACTATTCCCATTCCAAACCTAAAAAATAACGATCCATTTTAGTTGTTTTTCTTAAAAATTATACAAAGTGATTTTTTTATCATGACCCACTCATTTACTTGCAGATTAAATATAATTTATTATATTTAGCTCTCACCGAACCGATTTCATTCAACGATATGTTAAAAGATCACAAATAGTATTTAGTCAAAGACATAACCCACAAAAATTGAACAAATTTCCCTCGTTCCCCGTAATTGGGGGAAACCTTCAAAAAAATTTCAACTTTAAAAATCGTTAATTTTAGACATTTTGTCAATTTTTTTTATTAAAATTTCCATAACTTTTTCAATAATGATTATATAAGTATAATTTATTTTATAGATGTATAATGTTTTTACTTATCATTTGTTACATTTTTTTAATAAATTGAACCCTTTATCTGGCCACAGCGGGGAATTCAAAATGACAACTTTTTCACAAAAAATTTACTTTTTCAACTTAACTTTTGAAAGTGTTCCGGAAAGTCTGACAATTTTATATATATCTTAAAGTAAAGCTAATGTAATTTACTTTATAATGGAAAAAAAAAATTTCGGACTTTAGTTTATCTTCACGGTGAAAAGGGCTACCAAATGCTATTATTGTGTGAAAATTCTCGATTTTATTTTTTACATTTTTAACTTTATAATGCTAAAACTTATTTAAAAGTGTATGGATCGACACAATTTTTATACGAGAAATAATATTTATATCCCTTTTTCATTCGACATACATTATCTTCATCAGGATATTAATAAGGAAATATCAGATCATGTAGCATGTAGATTTTGGAATAATCCACCAATTTTTTAAAATTAAACACTATCTAAAGATTTATATCGAGGCGTTTTTTTTGTTATAGAGATTTTAAACATTGTCAGATATCATTATACTTGATCCAAATATGCCACGTTATCACTGTGCCGCGACTCCCCTGTGCTGAGGTTTTTTTTATCATAACCCACTCAATTACTTACAGAATAAATATAATTTAAACATTTTTTTTTTTTGTTTTTCTTTAGTTACACATTATTCTTGAATTATTAACTATTTAAAACTTTTTATATTCATCCCTTATGCCTTGTAAGGGTGATAACTTTGTTTTTTCAAAGAGGAACACATATTTTGAAATTAATAAAATGTTTGAGTTTTTAATTTAATTGTAAATGACATTTGAAGTTTTAATATAACTTTTTTAGTTTATTAGATATAAACATTTCAAATTTCAAATTTTTAAGTTAATATACATGTATAATACACAAGAGATTATAAAAAACTAAAAATTCAAATACCATTTACTGTCAGTATGTGTTTAGCGTTAATAATGGTAACATTGTTTCCGAAATATGTATCCGCGACTTTTCATTAATTTTTTGTGGCTTTGAGTTTAATATTTTTTAGTTTTTTAAATTAATAATATTTTTAATATAGTTTTAATTTTACTGTATAATATAAGTGACATTGTTCAAAATAACATCTGTAATATATATTTTCAAAAACACATAAAATTTGAGTTTTACTTTGAGTTGAAATATATTTGAAAGATTCTTAATAAATTATGACAATATTCTATGTAATATTATATTATTACATATAATATTAATATATAATATGATGCTATCTCTACATGTATGTACATGTATGTCACATATTATGATTATACAAGATCACCAAAACAGGGTTCTCTTATTTAAAATACAAAATAACCAGTTAATTATTGGATAAAATCTACTCATTGTAGAGATTATTAAGTAACGCCTACACGCAGGAACCCCATTTTAATTAACCAATTAGAATACAAAGCCTCAGCTTCTAGGATCACGGTAGAGATCGCTGGGCTACCCCCTTCACACTATAAAAAGCCATTTTTCCCCATCTAAACCAGTTCTTTTGACGATTTTAAAATACACAAAATCTACGACACTCTACTCAAAATTTCACTCTCCGGGACTTAGTCGATTTTTTAATTAATTTGGACTTAGAATATTTTTCTTTAAAACTAAATGACACTTTGAAATTTTAAAGTGAATTTTGTTTTGGTGAATCTTTTAATTTAATTTAATTTATTCAATTAATAATATTTTATTTTTCTTATTGTGGAAATAAATATGATTACGTGCGCGATCGATGTAAAAATTCTTTGAGTCGTGTGTATGTGGTGTTGTTACTGTTTTGGCCCTTGTCAAAGTGTTCCATAAGACTTTTCGTGAATAATAGTTTTTTTTTTTATATATAGACAATCGCCCTTGCGATTCGCGTGTACTTTAGTACGCAAATATAGTAAATTCGCCCTGCGACGCGCCTGTACCCATCTACATCGCCATATCATCGCCTTGCGATTAACCACATCCCATTGATGTTAATGAATGAATTGTATCCACCATTTGGTTGAAAGGTTATTCATTCCAGATCAGTTCATTTGTACAACTTTCAAGACTACAGTAATTGCTAAGTAATTAATTAGTTGTCATTATCTTTTTACTTTTACATATATTACTATTTATTTGTTTTTGCGCCAGTGTTGCATTAGTATTAAGTGACCCCCCCATCCACAATTTTATAATAGTTTAAATATATATTATTACTTTAATATAACTCCTTATATTGTAATTCTTATTATTTTATTTGGTGTAAGTACCATCCTCTTATATACAGTCCACTCCCTATTTCTTTCTCCGGCATAATTAGATAACCTTACTGAACGTTAACTAATCCGCACATTATAACCGGGCGTTCCGTTCAAACAATTCATTTGGTTTAATGATGATCTAAAATTGAAAATTTTTTTTTACTGTTTTTATTATTTCATTGATGCGAAGCTGAGAAGGTATTAATTTTACCATGATGTGTTTTTTTTTTATGCCTGTTGCCACTTTTTCTTAGCTCTCACAGGACCGATTTCTTTCAACAATACGTCAAAAGATCACAAATCGTATCGCGATGAAGACATTACCATTAATAATTGAAAAAATTTCTCTCGTTCCCCGCAAATGGGGGAAATCTCCAATAAAATTTCAATTTTTTAAATCGATAAATTTTGTCATTTTTTTCACTATTTTTTCTTAGAACTTCCATTACTTTTTCAAAAGTTAATAAATAAACATAACTTATTTATATATTAAAACCTTGGATATTTCTCTTTTATTTGATATCATTTTTTTGAAAATCTAACACTTAACCTGCTTACAGGGAGGGATTTAAAATAGCAACATTTATACAAAAACTAACTTTTTCAACTTCATTTTTGAAAATGTTCCGGAAATACATCGTCCTTTAAATATATATTAAATTAAAGTCTATGTCATGTACTAAAAAACGAAAAAAAAAATTTATCCCGACACCTTATCTTCCATGTGCAAATGGCTACCGTATTCAAAAATATGCTATTTTTGTATTAAAATTCTGGGTTTTGTATTTTATTTTATTTTAAAATATCTTATTACGGGAACACACTGATTTTAATGAATATTATATAATTTAATTGACATAGAATAAAGTTCATAAGACATAAGAAATTAATCTTATTAAAATTTTTTTACTTTTTTAAAGTCGAAAAAATAATTTTAAAATTTGAGTTAGCTTAATTAGCCAATTTTATCATGTGACGAAAGCAATGAACAGTTGCCGAATCTGTAATACTTGTGGCTTCTACGTTTAGGGTACGAGGTTCGAATTCGCTTATGTTATTAATATTTTGCATTTTTTTTGAGTTAGAAAAACATTTTCAAATCATTTGATTTTTATCTCATTTAGATTCAATAACTTCAATAAATATCAAGGATCCCATCACTATAGTCTACCCTCGTGAGAAGAATTTTATATTCATGTTAATATTATTTTGTGGTTCTTTTTGAATTTTCGATTTTCGATTCTATATTTTTACTTTAAATTACTATAACTTTTTGAAAAATGTATGGATCAATAAAATTTTTTTTT